CAATATTTAATAGTTGTTATAAAACATTAAAAAAAAAAACATTTTACCCAGTAATAGATGGAATCATAAACCTCTGCAGCTGTTATTTTGCAGCTCAGAACCTTAAAATGTTTATGAACAATTACTATAGAAGACGAAGAAACATACAATTTCTTAAATGTTTTTATCTATTTTAGACAGAGTAACTGAATACTTTCACTTGAGCTACTTTACTATCCTCGTGTGTATCTGTGCAACAAAATTAAACTAACTATAATATAGCAATGTGGTATTATTTAAGGTTCTGCAGTAATATTAATTTTAAATTAAAACAATTAGATTGTGTAATACATACTTAAAAATGTTAAACTTATGTGAAAAAGTGATATTTTTATTTAAAGTTATCAAGATGACAGAACCTCATAGTCATGACTAAAATCAAAATATACTAAAGGCAAGAATGAATGCACAAGAGCCTTCGAACCAAATGTGAAACATTATAAAACCTTTAAGGGAAAGTGTCCTATTCCCAGCAAACAAGCTTTTCGATTCAACCAACCCTGAAAGCAGACAGAACAACTAAGGAAGAAGGTTGCCCATTTCATTTTGGCGTGAGAAAATGTGGGGGCTGGTAAGGGTAGAGGGAGTTGACAGTGGGCTTTGAAAAACACTTTTGAATGTGACATAGTAGCATTCCAGTGATTGTTACTTAATAAGAAAGGGGGGACACACCGAATGCTCCAACAAGAGAAAAGAGAACGCCACATGTAATCAAAAGAGTAAACACTTGTTATTCTTGTGCTGGAATTTGCAGCTTGTAGTGCGACGGATGGGAAAGAACCCTTAGAAGAAAAACCGGAGACATCGGTGAAAGACATATCTGACCACCGGTAGTTTTCCATCAAACAATCACCATTTCTTTTTATAAAATGTATTACAGGTAATATATATATATATATATATATATATATATATATATATATATATATATATATATATATATATATATATATATGTTTTCAAAGTTGCTGTATCTATGTACAGTCTTTGATCATTCTTAATCAGTAAGGTATCAGTGTAAATAAAAGAAAATTTACGCATTTTTATAAAACATGTCACTGTTCTTGGAAGAAACACATCAAACACCTCCAAAAATGAAAAGCAATGAGCTCTTTCCTGTGGCTAACTTATTGAGACATAATGTCCTTTCTCCTAGTCCTTCCCTGAGAGACGTTAGTGCAATGAAGCATGACACTTTGTTGCACGCCAGCATTTTGGTGCCTTGAGTCGATGCTGGCTTTTGATGTGGAGCCTGGATCACACCCATGGGGGGAGAATGACCCCAGTAACTACAGATAGATAAATGACTTTATTAATCCCAGAGGGGATTGTGGCCCATTATGATCTGAAAGTGGAAAGCTTCTTGGCTGTTTTTGCATAAACTCCAATTAGCCACACACAAAACCTATGTTTTTGTCCTAGCAGAGGAAAAAAACAACACTGGGGAGTTTTATCGCTTTCAATAAGAGTATCTAAACTCCTCAAGGTTGGACGATAAGGAAACAAAATGATAATAGTTCAATAGTTCATGGAAATGCCCACTTTCCTGTTGCTTCCCTGTTGTTTGTCTGCTGGTCCTGTGGTATGGCATTATAATGACCCCCCCCCCCCCCCCCCTCTACAAATGCCACCTCAGTCTGTTCTGAAGAGCGAGGGTAAGCAGTTTAATTATCATGACAATAGTGAAGCTGAAGGCGGGGGTCGACTCTGGGCACGGCATACAAAATGACCAGAATCAAGTTCTGCTCACTAATGTAGCATTTGATTTTACGTACAGGGACATAGCATCTTTGGTGCAACTATTAAACAGGCATTCTTTACTTTTACTTACTCAAAGGTTTCTTAACAGAGCGTCTTAATGGACACATCTGCCTTCACACATCCACCCCAGGGCCATGTCTTTGTCTTTCTGTTTGACTGTGTGCCGTTCATGAAGTCAAGAGGCTAATCAGCGGCTGCAGAGCTATTCACTGCGACCCACTGTATACAGCGTGGGCCCATTTAGCAGAATTGTTAAGAGTGGCCACAATAGATCTGTTTTGATCCAAGCCCCGAGTGTGCACTCGAACCACTGATGTGGAATTGAAGTGTGGTGATGTTTGCTCCCAAAACATCAACTTCTTTCTACAAATTGAACTTGAGCACCAAACCCTGCCCCCTGCAATCCTGAATGGCTGAACCAAGACCTTGGATGCAATTAAATTAATTAAATTTGGAGAACCCTTGAAACTGAACTGGCAGTGCAGCAGAGTGTCAGAGCAATAGAGCCACAACACAAACATGTCATTATTTTTAAAGGGCTTACATCAATTCCAGCCTTGTGCATTTAAAGATGTGGGATAAAGAAGTGCTAACTGGCTGGCTTGTTATAACCAGAAGAACAAGAAGTTCTTTTAAAAAAAAGTTTCTGAACATTTGTGGTTTCATTAGCCGATTATGAAAACTGTTTTACTTACATCTGAAGCCAGCAAATCTCATTTTATTAAACATGAGACTGTGTAAGGCACGGCCCAGAACGGCACAGCACAGCCTGGGTTCTGCGTACCATATTTTACGGCATATAAGTCGCAGTTTTTTTGCATAGATTTGTCAGTCCTGCGATTTATACGCCGAAGCGACTTATATACGTTTTTTTTCTTTCCGTATTCATAACGCAATTTTTGACTGACACTTTAAATTTTGAAGAACTGCAACAGCGAGTCCTCCCTTGCACGTTTGCTTCATTCAGCTGGTGAATGAGGAGGAACGCTAGAAAGCTAGCGGCTCTGGTTGCGATGGCACCACCCAGGCAAAATGAAGCCGTTTTGACCATTAAATAAAGGCATAATAAACACGACGGGTCAGCAGTGACGCATAATAAATGTGACTTGTATGTGTTTTTTCCTCTTCATGATGCTTTTTTTGATTGATGCAACTTCTACTCCAGAGCGACTTATACACTGGAAAATACGGTATTTACATTTGGTGTTATAGTCCACTTCCAGCCCTATTCCTGGAATCCAGGGACCTGGGGTTCCATTCGGGCTGTGCTGTTGGGGCCGATTTGATGTCAGCAATAGCTACCGTAATCGTCTTTCAGCACTCAGCCTTCTCTAGCTTTGTTTTTGTTGCTCTTGAATTATATGGAGAACAAAGAGAAGTAGCACAAGCTTGATGTCATCCATTGTTTTGTCACAAATAAGGAAGAAGCAGATAAAGCTAATGAATGGATGGATGGATATGACATTGTGCGCTTTGATATGATGATCCCCACCCACATAGAGATGGCACTCTGCTCATAGCAAACACAACCATGGAGAATAAGGGCAGGCCAATTGCAGCCAGGCCGGGCCTTACAATGCAAAAATACCATATATAATGACTTGGGGATGATTAGTGCAAGGAGCTGACTTTTGTTATGGTAGTGAAAATCCCCATCCTTTTGCTTTTGACAGCGACTTGTGACATGTCAAAGGTGGACCTCGGTTCTCTCACAATGACCACTGGAAATAGAAACCAGTTTCCCTGCATGCAAAAGCAGGTAAAGAACATGCATGAATGAATGCTTTCAGCAGGGACTATCAAATAAAGGAGGTAGTCCACATGAACCGCTGTAAAATATTGGAGAATCAAGTAGTTTCAAGACAGCAGCTTGGACAAGGCGCTAGCTTGTGAACCTGATCAGAACAGTTCACCATTTCTCCAAACTGAGGTCATTCATAGATCAATCTGCAATGTGGAAAATTCTTAACTCTTAATAACATTTTCCCAGAATCTCACATAAAAATCTGAAGTTATCTTTTTTTTTTTTTTTTGGGGGGGGGGGGGGGGGTACTTTTACTGCAAGGGTAAACCAAAGCAATCGCACAACGTATAGTAAGTAGGATAAGATAAGTAACCTACATTTATACTTGTAGCACAAAGCTGCTGCTGCAGCCAAATCAGATGCTAATTTTTAGGAAAACATTTGAAATTCAAAAAGGGAATTCAGAAATTGAGCACAGGCAACTGATACCAGACACTGATTGTGATTAATATTAGCAGCACACATGAAGCCTTGATAAGTAATTTAAAAAAAAAAACACTGAAACCACTTTGTTTTTCAAAGACTTTTCAATTAATAATCAGTTTGCACAAATTCTCACTGTACATTCCTCTGTGACTTCTGTCTGTGGATAGAGACGCTGATAAACACACAGAGGAACCACATGCGATTTATCATCCCTTTTACAGAAACACTCTTCCTATATGTTATTTTGATAAGTTTTTACTGCTTTAGGGGAAAGCCAGAGGAGAGCAGAAGCAGATACACAGCTTCATGAAAGGGCGACGTGTTCTCTTGTGGATATTTATGTAATGGCGATGAATCCTGATATAGCTGCTGGCGTAAGGAGATGAAGACCTCTGACAGCATAGAAAGCCATGCACAGATTACTGCTTGGACCACACTCTGCAAGTGCATCCTTCCTCCTATTTCAGATCCGTCATGCTTACAGCCTATGGTCTTTATGGCGCATTTCCGAGGTCCTTGTCAGCAGCTCCAGGAGAGTCTGATGGAGTATGTCAGCACTATCTTTTTAGAGGGGCTGTCAACACCAGCTTTGTATCAGCGCGCTTTGAGACAGGGCACAAAACACAAACAAGCCCTGCACGCCATGATGACTAAGATTCCAAATGACAACAGAAAAGAAAATCACGCTATGCTTTCACACAGAGACGATCATTAGTCCTCTGAAGATGCACATATTAAACCATATTCCAATTAGAACGAGAAATGAGCATTAACAAAAGTCATGAATAATCACTGAAGATAAAAGGGGGTTTTTTTTCCCCTCATGAGAGTCAACCGTTTGTAATGTCTGCCGCGGAGCCATGACAAGACGAGTCCTGTCGTGACTCGTTCACTTTTTCTTGCATTATCCTGATAATGAGGCGTGTGCGTGGCATGCATCTCATTTACGAAAGAAATGGAAGTGCATTACCTTGGAGCACTGCTTGTGATTCTGGCACCACACCAAGGACCCATTATTCTGTGAAAGAGAAGAAAAAAACATTATTAGTCATCACAGAATCCTGTTGAAAATGCATTTACAACAATCCATCCATCAAACGCACAAGTAAATTTGACCCTCTTCTCTCCAGTCAAGATATACTCTCACACCGCTTTGCTTAAGGTCTGACCTTACTGATTGATTAGTGTAATACAGAAGACTGACTTTAAGTCTGTGTTTATAACCCCAGAGGAGAAGTGGGGTCACTGTACCAAGGCTGGAGCACACCTCTGGTCAGTTTCACAACACGGTGACCTCTGCTTCTCTGAGGATTTGTTTGATCTCTCAACAACTCTCCCGAGGTCAACAAGGCAAGAACTGATGTAAGCACTCTTGTGAAGAGTGCAGAAAATTTCCTCTAATTGCCATGCAGGTGGCACCTTTGCCCTTAGACATTTGGTCCTGATAGTTTTGTGAATCTGTAAAGTTTCAATGCGTAAATTTGAAGGATTATCAAGTGAAGAACAAGTAGGGGTAAAATTTCATGCACAAGTGTTCATTTCCTGTATCCCTTTAAATGAATTACGTTGGTATATTCTATTGAACATAACTGGGCTTGGATAGAGTTTTCAAGTACCTTAAAGGGATAATTCATCTCTTTAAAAGTTAGTACCAAAGAGGATTGATGTCTTAAAACTCCAATTATAAAAAAAAATTACTGTTCTGGCTGCTATACACATCGCACCGCCGTATAAGTTGTATAAGTCAAAAAAGTGTCTAATAAAGTGAAAAAAAAAAATGCAAAATGCAGCTAATTTGACGTTTGCTCCAAGAGTTCTGGAGCGAGAAGAAGGTGGTTTTGTATGGCAAGCCAAGTGTCTCATTAATAGCCACTTCTACCTATTAATCAGACTTGGCTTGCCATACCAGTCAAGCGCCCTCTAGTGACTGAAATGATAGTGTCCAATATTTTCCGTGTCAGAATGAATGAAATCGTCAGATCTCAGCCAAAAATTGGGTTATAAATATTGAGAAAAAAAAACTATAAATAAGTAGCTTTGTTGTACAAATAAGTCGCAGGGCATGCTAATGTATGCAAAAAGCTGACTTATATAGTGAAAAATATGGTAACTATAGCAATTTATGTGAATGTTACTTTAAAAAAAATTTAGAACTTTGCCAATTTTCCAGGAGAAATAGGATCACTGGCTTGAAATGCTACAGCTACCTGCTGCTGCCTCCATCTGGACATGCAAAAATAACCATAAAACACTTTGTAAATAACCAGCATTAACATGAATCACTGACCATGTTGAGACTGGAGATATTTAACGCTCCTGCTGCCCTAAAGTCAAAATTACCCACGAGACCCAAGGGCAGCAGGCGGGTTAAAGATGGCAGGAATCCACTTTGGTTTTGGTCCTGCTCAGACTTGATAGATTGTCAATATGGTCTAAATTAAACTTCATTTTTCCAAACTGAAGTTGCTCAAAGAATCATTAAAAACAGATTTAATACGCATTATCCATAGACTTCCCAAAGCTTTCTACTTGAGAAGATATGAACTATAAAGTAAATAAGCTTGACACCAAGAAAGGAAAGACATATTACATTTTAAACCAGAAACCATCAGTCCAACAGCTACAAATAGCCAAAGCTCCTACATAGAACACTTGCTGTCTGTGAAAATATTTTTCTGAGCTTAAAGATGTTTAAGAGCTGCCTAAAACAAAGGTGAACTCCATCGCCCAGACCTGAATCTACCACATCATACCAAAATATTTGATAATGGAGACACTATCAAGTTCACTGAGTAGTGAGAGCTCAGAATACATTCACAAAGTTACTTGGTCCATGACCTGAAACTGGGCTTGGGATCTGGAAGTTCCCTGTTCGCTCCATAAACGCAATGAAGCTGTGAAAGACATCCAAACTTTAGGGATCCGCAAGCAATGGGTCTGCTTAAGTTCAATGTCAAGTTCAAAGCCTTTTCTCACAATGTAATCCAGAAGAAATTTCCCATGAGACACTGGGAGGGAAGATATCATTACGGAGGTTTAATTTGACATCCAGTGCCAGTAAGTGTTGTGCTTTTAAAGTCAAGGATAGCAGTCAGATGGCTTCAAAGGAATCCAAGATTGGATGGTCGTGTCTTCAGAGAATCTCCCTCTCAAAAGACTCCAGATAAGGATGAAAAATAGAAAACTCTGCGCACTAATGAGACCTGGTCTAGCTGTTTTTGTTACCGAACGAAACTGAAATCAGAGCTGATTTGGCTGAAGGGTATGCTGTGCACTCGGAGTTTTTACGTCCTTTTGGGTGATAGAAAACACCTGTGCTCTGTCAGGCATAATTTTGATTAAAACGTTACCTATCCCTCACCGGTGCATCATTTAGTCCCATGACTGAAATCCCTGTGGGTTTTGCGAACAGATTCGATTTTTTATGATGAAACCAACCAAGCCAAACCCCTCCGGTGACACAAGATAAATAAAACTTTATTTACACTGGCAAGCACTGCTTCCAGATAATTTATGCAGATTGTCACAACTGTAGACCGCGTTCTAAGTCATCAATCCTTCTTCTGATGCCTCTCCTTGCCCATCCATCAATCAAGATAGGGCCATCTACAAAGGAACTAATTTTGCTGTGTGACAGCATCCCTGTTGCAGAGAGGCTCAGCAGGATGTTGCCCCAGCTGTCCAGACCTGACCCCTCCATTTTAGGGACCAACAAGGGAATAATTATAGGTCAGGACTTCATCCCTGTGACTCACCATGACATTCCTCTGCACACTGAACATTATGCAGTGCTGAGGACTGTCAAGGACTCTGGTGAATGAATTCTTGCCAGATATCCTCCGGTGTGACCGAGGTCGAGGAGATGAAGCCAGGCAGTGCTGTACGGATGTGCAAAGGTGAACTCCACTGTGTTGGTGACAGTGCAGTGACTAGAGAAGCATGTAAAGAGGACATTTATCACAGACATTCATTATGGCTGCTGTCAGCTGACAAGTCCAAGCAGATGGCCCCAGGCAAGTTGTATTGTCTAGACAACTGAGAGATGACACCCCCCTGCATCTTTGAGGTTACCGGTCCTCCTTTTGACCCTTTAAATCTTTCCGTGTGGGTTTTCAGTTTGGATTTAACATTTCCTCCTTTACTAATTGTGTTTAATCTCGCCTATTTTTTTTTTTTTTCACCATTTAAATAATGGAAAATGCCAGTGGGGGCTACAAAGTGAAGAGCGTGTAAAGTTTTGACAAATTTAACAGGAAACATGACTTTAAAGAACAGAACAGCAGTTTTTCTCTCTCCATCTTGTTGACAGCTTAAGGGTCTTTAGGCATCACCAAAATAACTTCTCCAGAACTAAAACAGAGGTCTTTCCTTCCTCAGCCCTGAAGTTTTGAGCACTCTGGGGTTAAGGGATCCCAGTTCATAAAATAGTAGGTAGAAGGCAGAGTGACTATCTGGCAATTTAAATGAAGCTGTTTATAGGGAGAAATGTTAAGGCTACAAAGAAATGTTCACATTTAGTGCGTTCAGGCGTTTGATAATGCCAAAACCATTAAAATGTGTGGTTTGGAGTATTCCAGTGTGGTATGTTTGCTATAAATGCTGTTTTTAAAAAAGCATTGAATGATTTTGTAAGTCTATGTCTGTTAAAAACTAGATCATTGGTGCACCTCATAATAAAACTAAAACAAAAACACGAGATCTGTTCATATTTAAAATGTTGTTGATGTTGTTTCCCATTTGTAATCGTATTTTTGATAATTCACCCACTGTGGCTTCAGATTAAGGATGAAGGGAAACTAAAAAGCTGAATCTCATTTTCTAAGGTTATCCCAAGCCCCTCACCTAACCCTTCAGGTTGGGTTTATTTGTCGTATGCAAAATCAACACAGGGTCAACAATGCAGTGACATACTCAAGACGAAAAGCACCGTCCAAACTCTCAAAAAAAAAAAAAAAAAAAAAACAGCAACAACAAATACAAACAGAGTTATATAACAGAGTTGTTAAGTTTCCCCGCCTGCTCCAGGTCTCTGAGGTCAGACAGCTCCTGCTCTCTGTTCCTAGGACAAAATATAAACGCTGGGGTGATTGTGCCTTTTCTGCAGCCGCACCTCCACTCTGGAATAAGCTCCCACTTGAGCTACGTCAGATTACTGAACTTGGCCCTTTTAAATCGAAGCTTATTACTTTTTATTCTAACAGGCTTTTAGTACTTAAACATGTGATGACATTTCTGGTTCTCTTTTTGTTATTTTATTGTGTTTTTTTCTTGCTTTTAAACTTGTTGTCATTTTAATTACCGTCTTTGTTAAGCACTTTGGTCACCATCGCCGTGGTTGTGTAAAGCGCTATAGAAATAAATAAATGAAATGAAAAAGCAATACATCTACAGCAGCATGGTCCTACTAGCAGAGTGGTCCAGTTAGCAGTGAGGTTTCTCTTAGCAACATGGTCCCACTGGCAGCATGGTACCGTTAGTGATGTGGTTCGGTTAGAGGCGTGGTCTTGTTAGCAGCATTAGCAGGTCTTGTTAGCATCATTAGCAGGTCTTGTTAGCAGCATTAGCAGGTCTTGTTAGCAGCATTAGCAGGTCTTGTTAGCATCATTAGCAGGTCTTGTTAGCAGGTCTTGTTAGCAACATTAGCAGGTCTTGTTAGCATCATTAGCAGGTCTTGTTAGCAGGTCTTGTTAGCAGCATTAGCAGGTCTTGTTAGCAGGTCTTGTTAGCAGGTCTTGTTAGCAGCATTAGCAGGTCTTGTTAGCAGGTCTTGTTAGCAGCATTAGCAGGTCTTGTTAGCAGCATTAGCAGGTCTTGTTAGCAGCATTAGCAGGTCTTGTTAGCAGGTCTTGTTAGCAGGTCTTGTTAGCAGCATTAGCAGGTCATGTTAGCAGCATTAGCAGGTCTTGTTAGCATCATTAGCGGGTCTTGTTAGCATCATTAGCAGGTCTTGTTAGCAGGTCTTGTTAGCAGCATTAGCAGGTCTTGTTAGCAGGTCTTGTTAGCAGGTCTTGTTAGCAGGTCTTGTTAGCAGCATTAGCATGTCTTGTTAGCAGCATTAGCAGGTCTTGTTAGCAGGTCTTGTTAGCAGGTCCCGTCAGCAGCATGATGATAACAACCGCAGCAGCTGCCCTCCCAGACTGCCCTCCAGAACCGGGTCCGGCAGACGCGGAACCGAATAGGTCTCTAGATTGTAGCATCCTTGACCCTTAATTCAAAGGCAAAATAAATAGCAGTATTTCATTGCAAAATGGGATACACCTTCAAGAATAGGTCACCAGTCGTTGCCATTTTTTTTTTATGTAAATATGTCAGTGTACCTTTGTGTTGTATAAAAATATTACACCAAACAAGACATTACAATGGTTGTTGTTACAATAAAACTTTTAAACTACCAGTACCAGCTGGAACTGTACAAAATAAATGACTAAAAAAATAAACTATTGACATATATTAAAGTTTGTTTTTTAGACATCTATTTACACATGTAAGTACAAGTACATTGTTATTGTTTACTGTCATTGTTGTCTGTACTTTATGTGTTCGGTCTGGAACAGGTCTCTCTTGTAAATGAGTCCTCATGGCTCAATGAGACTCACTTGTATAAATAAAGGTTGAATGAAAAAAACTTACATTAGTGTTTGTGCCCATTAGTTTGAAGTGTGCCCTTAAAAAGTGTTTGAAGAGTCAGATAGTCCTACTTTTTTTACACTTTCCCTACATCACAAAATGAATTGGGAGACGTGACCTCCTGTAATGCAAACTGTAGGGGTATGGCTAACGAGCAGGGGGGGGGGGGGGCGTGAAACGGGATTACGTCGAGGTAGATGTAACATGAGAGAACGGGTTTCAGCCGCCGTCTTTTATCTCAGTGGGGTGTGAGTGCTGTGGCCGTTCAACAATTTTTCAGCCGATGTAAACTATTTGTCAGCCCCTGTAAAAGTCCGCTAACGCGTCCACGCTCAGTGTTAACATGAAAGGGTGGTTCATGGATCTCAAACTGCTCTGGTTTAAAGTTGTCTCCACGTCGGAATGAAGGCCATTCGTCAAATGAGGTAGCTCGGGGTGTAGCAGCGCAGAGATTTACAGACAGGACTGTCATGTTTTCAAAAGCGCACACACCAAGGTGAGGCCAAGCTACAGAGGCTTCCATTCATCTGCTGTCGTCACTAATGAAAAACCCCACACATAAGACGAGTATGAGCTGTGGGTTCGATTCCACCGCAGGCCATTTAAAATCAAAGCGCAAAAACAACGGGACATGGAAAAACTACTTTCCAGTGTTTTTTCTTCACTGTATCCCCGAAACACAAATCTATCAAACAAGCTGCTTAGGGTTGACTATGCAGCGTATTCGAAATGAATGACTAAATTTAAAATGCATGGTTTTTATTGCTTTCAATGTAATAGCACGACCTCATGGACACACCTTGTTTTTTGGCTTCGCTTGTCCTCACATAAATAATCCAACACAAGGCTGATGCTTTCAGGATACATTATTGCAAAGGGCTCCCAGCTCGCTCTTAATTTTTAAAAGTGTCCGAGGCTAATATTTATGGCTGGGTGTTCCCCTCTGTCTATTGTGCCACGGTGACAAGTTCCCCAAAAGTGGAGTAAAATCTCAATAAATTTGTATTTGGAAATACTATTACATCAATTAATCTCCAGTTGCCATAAATCTGACAAGCAATAAGACTACCCGTGGGTTTCCCAACTCTGCAACTCCATGCTTCTTTCCATTTTGCACTAATTCAGGAGGCTGGCAATTAAAATGAGGTCTCTTGATTTTTATTCAGATTCAGACACGTGGGTGTCCAAAACATCTGTAACAACATCGCAACTCTCCCAGCAGCATTCCGGTATTCGCAGAGTGATCGAATTAAACCCAATATTTGAAAACTCCAGCTGCTAAATGTGTTAAGAGAGAGCGAACTATCTTTTGTTTCACGACCAAAATAAGTAGCGGCTTGTATAGATTACTAGATGCTGAGAGGAGACCGTAAAATATGAAGCAACACTGGGAATGGGGATTGTATTTTTGACATGCAACCGAGGCACTTTGTTTCCATTAACAAGTGTGTGTCTTGGTTTTCTTGGTGAGTATTAAAATCGCCCCCACGATGGACGTCTGAGTTGAATTAGGAGGTCTGTCGTCTCAATCACTGGGAGCGGAGCTTGCTGTTGTAACAAGACCTGCCAGAGAAAGTAGATCCACCTGTAGGTTGCGCTGACTGAGCATGCGCCACGGTTGTGAACACCACGTTAAGAGCTTATATATTGGACGTATGCATTTAGCAGGAAGGTGACCTCGGCTGGCGTGGTGCGCTCCCCCTGCACGCCTGTGAAGTGCGATGCTGGCGTTTATTGGCAGGGCTAGGAAGAGCCGGAAGGCTGGCCATATGTTTTTGCAGCTGACCAGACCCCCCCATTCTCACATGAAAGGGCTGATGAGACCACAGCACAGACACCCAGAAGCTTATCAGTAAACACCCCCCTCTTATTCCTCCTCTCACCGAGGAGCAGACTCCGAGGCTCTGCAGTCAATTACATTGACTATTAGCTGTTCATTAGAGGTGAGGCTCCAACAGTTATTCGACTTCTTAGCTGGTGACTAATTTAATTCCCCCGACTTTGCAACCTTGGGCAGCATTACTCCTGGAATCTGCTCAGAACAAATCCCGGCCACGACTTGCCAAGCAGCACTTGAAGAAAAACTGTTTGCAGTCTGTTTCTTTTGGATGTGGCATGATGCTCACTGCAGTATCCATCCTTCAGCTCCACCGTATATACTCTATGTAGATAATCGTTCTCATGAACCACAGCAGGTGATGCCGATTTCTTAGACCTCGTTACACATTTCTCAGGCTTTGCAACGTTTCCCAAAAAACGTGGCTCCATTAGCACACCTTGAAAAGGACAAGTCTTGCAAATACTAAAACTGTAAATGGAAAGCTGGACAGAGAAAACAGCAGAAGAAGGAGAGAGGGATTAATGCCCAGCTCTTTTCTCTATGGGGTCCTGAACAGTGGGGTTCAATGCAGGATGGAGAAAAAACAACAAGTAATTAAAAGAATGAGCTCATTTACAGTGGCTCCAAGACAGCGAGGTCTGCAACACAACATGCTGTAAACATTCCCACCTAACAAAGAAATAAAAGGTGAGAGAAAAGTGGAGTCGAAGTAAGCAACACAAACAGACTGATCTCCCATTTTCCAGTAATTAGGAAGCAATGAATGGAAACTGGCACCACTTGGAGCCATTAATCATCTCCAAGTCTGAAAAAGCACAGAAGATGTGTTAATTAGGCTGAAGATGCGTTTGAGAGCGTCCCATTTTTGGTGTATGGCAACAACTTTACAGCCTCTCACTCCGCCTGCTAGCTGCTGGTGACATTTAGTGACACTTTTCACCATTAGTGACCTGCTCCTGTTCCAGCACAGAGGCGGGTTTCACTTAAAACGCTCGCGCGGCTTTCCTCGCGAGCGGCGGCTCTTTGATGTCATTGTGTCTGATTTTTCCTCCTCGTACCTGTGAGTGCTTGAAGAAGGCAGAGATGCGCGTGATGTGCAGGCTGAGGCACCTCGAGGCGCATCTCGCGCGGTACACGCTGCCGGTAAAGAAGGAGTCATCCTGCTTCCTCGCGCCGGAGACCCTTCCCGGACTCGTCACGGCCGTAATCCACAACAGCAGGGTCACACACGGTGCGTTCAGGCTCCCGGAAAACACCATCATCATTGCTATGCCCCTGCTGCCTCCGCTCGCGCGCGCGTCTGTGTGTGTGAGCGGCTAATTTAATCCCCTCCGTGAATCGGACAAACACTGCGCTCAAGCTCCGCTGGAGAAACTAAAGAAACTTCAATTATACACAGGGGAGGAGCCACGGGCTTCACGTGCCTCGCGATTGGATCGTCCCGCGTGTGAGTGACGCGCGCGAGGAGCGTTTTAAAGCAGGTAGAGGGGCTGCTGAGTGAGGAGTCCTCAGCATCCCGAGCTCAGGCTGGGTGTGGAGAGATGACCTGAACACATAAAACAATAATAATAATGATGATGAAGATAATAATAATAATATTAATAATAATAATAATAAACTGTGTAATATTCCACACAAACTCTGGACTTTTTGAAAGGCACTCATTGCAAGTTATGAAATCAAACATGTAAAAAAAAAAAAAAAAGTTAAAGTGGTTCAGTTTGAACAACTTTACTCCGGTAGTTTTCCAAGTGTATTGAGATGCAATTCTGAAATGCAGGTACGCACTCAATGTAAACAAAGCAGTATCTGCGTACTTGACTCAACAAATCTCAGTGTGCATACGTCAAATATACATTTATGAGACTTTTCCATCCCAAGCAGCTCTTTCACCAGTGCCGTCATTGTCAAAACTATTTTCAGTCGCTTCGGCTGTTTCTGAATGTAAACAAACACACATTATAGTTGGCTCGATAACTATTTTCATTTATTTAAGAACACATTAACCATCAATGTGAGTAAAAACGTGTGCATATTTAGTTTCTTACTTTTTTATTTTTGGCCTGCCATCATGACATTGCATCTAGTTTATGAATTAACTCCCAACTTTCTGCTTGTAATGTTTCAGTTTTCTTGTCAAGTCATGCAGGTGAACTGAATTTAAAGCAATGAATTGCTTACTTTATTGTGTAAATATTATAAAAAGTAAAATAATTTTAGACATTCTACCATATGATAATAAATAAAACAACGTTCAATCATTTCATCTGGACGGTTTCTGTTTTGTTGTTGAGATGTTTCATCCTTCATCCAAAGGACTTTGTCAGTCAGATGAGCCACAAACAAACTGATTCCCACAAGCAACACACTTCCATAGTCGGGGAATAAACAATTTGTTGGTGGTAAGATGGTTTCTGGGGCCCGCCCTCTCCCCCATCAACTCCTCTAAGGCAGCCATGCCAAAGTGGTTCAAAACATCAAAGTCCATGCTCAATAATCCAGGTACTAATCCAACAATGTTCAGTCAGGTCATCTGGATGGTTTCTTTGTTTTTGTTGAGATGTTTCGGCCTTCATCCAGAGGACTTCATCAGTCCGAGGAGCCACAAATAGGACGAAAAGTCTCAGAAAAAAAAAGAAAAGAAAAGACACTGTCTAGATGACCTGACTGAACATGGTGGATTTGAACCTGGATTAATGAGCATGAACTTTGAAGATAATTAATAAAGTTCATCAAACATGCAAAAAATAATGTTCTTTGCTGATACACAAAGTTTCTTTTTTTTTTCATTTGTTTGCTTGTTAGTTTTTGTTCCAATAACTATAAGAGTGTGATTGATTTTGAAATATAAAAGAAAAAACTGTACTTTTTCCTCAAATTTGTGTAAAACAAACACAAAATAAATTAAAAGGTATTCCTGCTGAGGACAAATGTGAAGTGTAGCAGGGCCTGTCCACAAATATGCCTGTTTTTTAATCATTTTTCTTTTAAAGAGAGAAAATTGACTGAAATATTGACCACCCATCAACTGCTCAATCTCTAACGTTGAGTATTTTGTGCAAATCTTTTCATCGAGCTCCTCCAATCCATTTGTTAGGTCACTTTGGCACCGTATGTGAATGTACAAGAAAAGCCACCTGTCTGTGTGAACATTCACAAACTCCAGCTCGTGTAAAAATGTGGCAACGTTTCCTGCAACGCCTCCTCGTGCACACGCATTTGGAGACGCTTGCCAACATCTCAAGGAAGCCCCCTTTCCCCTCGAGCGCTCGCCCTCCTGGTTTCGCAGTAGCTTGGAAAAACAACTCGACTTGGAAAACTCTTAAAACCATCCCGAACGAATTCCTCGGGATGGACTCCCAACTTCTGGCATCGTTCCGTCGCCCAAGGTGTGGAGAAAACACGACATGCAGGAAAAGCCTGAAATCTTCACTTGTTTATTGGAGTTAAGGAGCGGGTGTTTAATTAGAAAGTTCCCTCAAGCTTTTACAAGACACCCCTGCTTTTGTCAGCTCCTGGAGAACTTTCCTGAACCCCATTACAGCAGCAGCATAATGAAGTTTTATAGGTGTTGCTCTTAAATTGTATGCACACACACACACACACACCGTTAGATTTGGCTCGAGTCACAACAAGGCCTCAGGCCACTTGTGCATATTGTGAATGACTTGACCCATGTCTCTCCACTGAAACAGGAAATATGCATTAACACATCCTAAACTGTGCACGCTGCATGGAAAATTCCCATCAGGCGCACAAATCCGCCCGTCTCGATAAGACCTGGACGTTGTGTCGGAGAGGAGACATGTGACCGCCGCTGTGGGATCATCTCGTCTCTGACGAGGAGACGGACGAGCGCTCGGTTCCCTGGTGGTCTCAGACGCTCAGTGGAACTTCTCCCTCGCTACCCTTAAATCGTTTTAAACGCGGATGTCTGTGTACCTTAAAAAACAGTGTAATGGCTTAATTTGTTGGCTTATTACAGCCATGTGTGGAGGTGGGGAGGAGGAGGAGGAGGAGGAGGGGGGTGTTTATGGTGTGCAGTGGAGGAAACGCACTGTCTGTGTGCGGTCCTGTCTCCTGCAGCCTGTGGGACATGTATCTCTGACGCCACGCTCTCCTTAACTGGGAAAAGCCTCCTCCACTTGTGAACTTGGACTCTAAAGACACTTGGGTCTTAGTAATCCACTCACCTGGATTTGACTTGGGTACATGAAAGGCCTGAATGCATACATGAATGGAGTTGTAGCGTCTGTGGTCAAACCTTGACAAATATGTTATCCACATTCGACGTCATACTAAAATATTTGATGTAGATGACCTTCGGCTACTACCACGTCAAGTTTAAGATCAATATCTGTCATTTTGACTGAGTTGGAGCCATTTTTGTGTTTGGTGTTGTCGATTCGCTACTGTGGCTGTCTTGGATTGACTTAACTCCAAATGTAATCCTTTGCAGATGTTTATCCAGTGATCATTTTCTGAAAGTTTCATTCAAATCCATCTGGAGGTTCATGAGATATTTTGCTAACAGACAAACTGGGCTGACTCCAACAGTTAATGCAATTTTTTTTTTTTTTTAAGCACAAATCTTTGCATTACGAGTTGCGCTTAAATGTTGTGTTGTCAGGGATTCTCAGCTACAATCACACTTTATTTTTCGCTCAATATCTGCAAAATCGACCGAACTGTAGACACTTAATTGTTTTTTGTTTGTTTTTAATGTAATTTGGTTGTGGCAGCCATCTTGGATCACACTGACTTTAAATGATAATCAGTTACTCACTTCTTCCTTTTCGGGTTGCAGGGGGTCTGTGGTGTCCATATCCAGCCATCACTGTGTGAGAGGTGGGGGACACCCTGGACATGTCTCCAGTCCATCACAGGGACACATAGAGACCAATGAGACAAACAACCGTTCACTCTCTCACTCACACCTAGAGACAATTTAGAGTTACCAATTCGCCTAACATGCATGTTTTTGGTCTGTGGGAGGAAACCGGAGCAGAAAACCCACACATCCACGGAGAGAACATACAAACTCCACCCATAAAGGCCCCCCTGGCCAGGATATGATCCACCAACCTTCCTGCTGAGAAGCGACAGCTCTACCAACTGCACCACCGTGCCGCCCTATGTACGCCCAACGACTGAGTCTAAGAGTTTCATTAAAATGTGTTCATGAGATGTTTTGGTAACACACAGACTGGCAGACATCCTTTCTTGACCTTTGCCTTTGCAAGTCAAAGCTGAAGTAGCCACCGGTGTTTATTTTACACCCTTTAGGCCTAATCTTTTCATTTTCCACAAAATGTCATCAACATTATTCAAGGTGCACGGACAGTTCTTGTTTTCTGTGACTAGATATGTTGTTGTGGAGAGGAACGGGCTCATTTTTTCAAAGCTGGGGGAGAGAGAGGGTTTTGGTCACATGATCCCAACAAAGCATTTCAAAAGATAGCACAGCGGTATCAGATTTCAGCCTGCATTCCCTCCCGACATGGAAGATGCACGGCGATCAAACACTTGTGCATCTTTGATGCTTGAAGATGCTGGTGGACTCCTACTTTGATGAGAGGGCCGCTCGGATCAGAGCGGACCACCAGCTGGAAGCTCCAGAAAACAAAGGAGCAGGAGATTAGCTCTGAATTTGAAGACGGGTGCAGTTGTGCTGTGGCTGTCTTTAAATCTGTTCGGTTTGTGCACACTTTGGTGTAACCACCTGCAGCAAGTTTCAGTCATAAAGCAAAACATTTAACACCACGTCACACAGTGGGAGCGTCACGTGCACACGCAATAAGACAGCATCATGCTAAATCAGGGCTGGAGTTTTCCCACTGTTAACATGAAGGGCTTCTTTAATCTGCATAGTCTATAAATTCATGCAAATTAAAAAAAAAAAAATGAAATGAATCAGTAATGAAAATGACATCATCTCAGTAGATATATTGTAATGCGTCATCTGTCAAGCAGGTAGAGGCAGAAATCACTGCAAGATGAGTTCTAACAGCTCTTATCATCACTGTCCAATTTTAAAACGATTACCGTATTTTCTGGAGTATAAGTCGCATCAGTCAAAAATCTATAATGAGGAGAAAATATATCCTGTGTAAATCGCTTTGGTGTAAAAGCTGCATTAATTATGTGTTTATTTAATGGTCTAAACAGCTTCATTTCGCCTGGGCGGTGCGGCACCATCCATCCATCCATCCATCCATCCATCATGGCCGGAGCCACTAGCTCTCTAGCGTTTCTCCACCTTCACCAGCTGAGTGAAGCGAGCGTGCACGGGAAGACTCGCTGTTGCAGTTTTTTTTTATTATTGTTTAACAAGATGAACACTTAAAAACAATTATTT